GAGCCCTGAAGTGTGGCCTCTCACTGGCTGCTTGGTCTGGCCAGCAGCTGACTTATGATTCAGCTTCTACTCTGAATTACTACAGGCAGAGTGGATGCCAGCCAACTAAAAATGATGAGGTCAGAGAAGACCAGCCTTTCTCTGCTTGGTGGATTTTGGAGGCCTCAGCATCTGCAAGGCTTAGGTACTGGGTCAGGATAGAGGAGAATGAAAGGGATATGAATTTTGGTCTCTAGCTATGGGAAACAAAGGGCAGAGAACTATGTGTATGTGAGTTCACTGTTGGCTTGCTGCACAGAGGCTGGTTCGGTCCAGATTGCTGCTTGGATGCTGTCTTGTACAGATGAGGCTGATAAGCCCAAGTGGATGATGACCAAAATTTCACACTTAGTGGGAAGGAAAGGCTGGTGCTCAGAGTCTGTCTTATAACGTCTACCTGCCATCTGCCACTCCTTGCTGTGGGATATTCCTTCTGTACACTGTGAGTAGGTATTACTCTCATTGGTTAATAATAAAACTGATTCTCCTAAAGCAAGGCAGGATAAAGTTAGGCGGAACAATAAAACTGAGGACTCACATGAAGAAGGGGGAGTCAGGAGAGGCGCCAGCGAGCCCCCCAAGAAACAAAATGCTGGAGGGCAGGTAAAGCCACAAGTCACGTGGCAATACATAGATTAATAGAAATGGGTTAATTTAAATGTAAAACCTAGTTAGTAATAAATCTGAGCTATTGACCGAACATTTTATGATTGATATAAGCTTCTGTGTGCTTATTTGGGACCGGGAGGTCAGGACGGAAAAGCTCTGCCAATGTTTACAACTCCCGAGCCTATTCCTCTCTCACAGATGGGTGCACAGGAATGGAAATGGAGCCCGTGTTTGCTACCTGTACTCTACTCCAGCCAAGGCATCTGAGGTTGAGGTGGGAACTCTGCCAAAGACTGAGACAGGACCAGGGTCCTTGGGACTCCTTGGTCTACGCTTGGAGAATGCTGTTTTTACAGTGCCTCAGCCCCAGCGCCTTTGCCAATGGCAGGACCTGGTACCATCTAGATGATGTCACTACTGCAGAAGAAAATACAATGACTAGTGTTTAATAAAGCCTTATAGGTGGTAGTTTATGAGGTCAGCAACTTTTTATTCCTTTAACTTCCTTTTGGTAAAATGCAAAAGTATCTTAGTTATAGGATGGACTATCTTGAGGTTAGGAAGTTTCCTATAAATGCTAAGATCTGTGCCTGGCACATGGTATGTGTTCAATAGAAGCTAGATTATAGATGGGATAATCACACAGAAACTATATTATTTACAGCACTGTTTGGCCAATGGCTCAGACGTATTCCTAGCTAGCTCGTCCATCTTAAATTAACCCACAATTCTTATCTATGTTTAGCCACGTGGCTTGGTAACTTTTCTCAGTGAGGCATTCTCATCTTGATTCCTCTGCATCTGGCTGGTGACTGACTCACTGCCTTTCCTCTTCCCAGAATTCTCTTAGTCTGTTTGCCCCACCTATACTTCCTGCCTGGTTACTGGCCAATCAGTGTTTTATTAAACCAATATGAGTGACAAATCCTTAGAGTGTACAAGAGCATTCTCCCACAGCGCTAGATACTGGGTAGGGGAAGTAGCTCAGTGTAGGAGTGTTTGCCCAAGGCCCTGGGTTCAATCTCTAGAAATACATACAAGCACACATACAGAGAGGTAGCATATACTTGTAAATCATAGCACTCAGGAGGCCGAGGCAGGAGGATTAAAGGGTCCAGAATACATAGTAAGATCCTGTCTTAAAGAACAAAACAAGGCAAATATCATGATATTATCATGGTTCACAATGTTTTGTCTTTGTTTTTCATTTGCTGGCTAAGTGAAGTATACAGGATAGTGCACCTGTCCATCTCTGGGTTCCTAGCAGCTACGTAGAATCTGTCATGTAATAGTTCTTAAGTAGAGTGGAATACAGGCGGCAACCACAGGTGCCACCCCCATTCCTGAACAGTGGCCAGGCCTGGGAAGTCAAATGCCCTTCACAAGTCACCATTATCAACTGATTGTGAGAAAAGGACCAGGCTCATGAGTGGCAGGTGGCAGGCAGGCATTTCAATACAAGGTTAGAGCCTTTCGGTTCTACCCACTCTTCTGAAACCTTAGTCACTGTTCACTTGGACCATGTGGATAACAGCATAAAATAGATCCAGTACTAAAATCTAAAATTTAATGTGAAGCGCTACAACTTCCCTTCTGGATGCATTTTATTTTCTTATTATTTTTTAGTTTTTCTAGACAGGGCCTCACTGGGTAGCCCTGCTGATCCTGGAATTTGCTCTATAGCCGAGGTTGACCTTGAACTTAGAGATCTACCTGCATTTGCCTCCGAGTACTGGGATTAAAGGCATGTGCCACCACTGCCCAGCCACCAAATTCACTTTTTAACTGTATAGAAATTCACTGAATTGTATAGACTTTGAATCTTTATTCAAATAAAGATTAATTTGCTGATTTAAATAAAGGTTGATTTTGATGTGTAATGCTTTAATTTACTTGCAAGGTTTTTCAGCAATAAAGTTTATAAAATAAAAATAAATACTGCAGAGTGATATTAAAGATTTTCAGGGGCTGAGGAGATGGCTCAGTGAATACAGTACTTGCAACATAAGCCTGAGAACCAGGGTTTGGATCTCTAGGACACATAATGCAGGTGAGTGTTGTACCCTGCCTGCAGGATATGGAAACAGCATCCCTAGAGCAAGCTGGCTGGCTACACTATCTTGAATGGGCAAACTCTGGTTTTAAGTGAGAGACTCTGCTTCAAAACAGAAGGTGGGAATGATAAAGGAAGACATCTACATCAACCTCTGAACTTGCAGGTACATCCATAACTAGCATGCACACATACACACACACCACATACACACATACCTGTCCCCACATAATACTAACATGTATTCATATATGTGTGTGTGGTTTAGAGGGTTTATTGCTGTGAAGAGACACCATGACCATGGCAACTCTTTGTTTCTCTATATAGCTTTGGAGCCTGTCATGGAACGTACTCTGTAGACCAGGCTGGCCTCAAACTCACAGTGATCCAGCTGCCCTGTCTCCAGAGTGCTGAGATTAAAGGCGTGTGCCACTACCGTCCGGCTGATTTCATTTATTTATTTATTTATTTATTTATTTATTTATTTATTTGGTCCCACAGCAACTCTCATAAAGGAAAACATTTAATTGTAGTGGCTTGCTTACAGTTCAGAGGTTTAGTCCATTATCATCATGGCAGGAAGCAGGGCACCATGCAGGCAGACATGGTGCTGGAGAAGGAGCTGAGAGTTCTTCCATTTTGACTCACAGGCAATAGGAAGTGTCTGAAACACTGGGTGTGGCCTAAGCATATAGGAGACCTCACAGCCCACCTCCACAGTGACACACTTCCTCCAATAAGGCCACACACACTCCAACAAAGTCATCTCTCCTAATAGTGCCACTCCCTTTGGGGGCTATTTTCTTTCAAACCACCACAGTGTGTGTGGTGTGCATACACACACACATATACGTACATACACACACACCACATACACATATACTTACAAAAATTATTTCCAGGCTTGGCTATGAAATCTATAAACCATGACCCTGAAATACAGTGGTTAGCCTGGGCAAGGCTGTCCCAGACATCCACTTCAGTGTTCTAGAGTCTTTAATTTCTTTCTTCCTTCTTCTGGACAGGATCTCATGTAGCCCAGGCTAGCCTCTAGCTTGTTCTATAGCCAAGGATGGCCTTGAACTCCTGTTCTTTCCACCTCCACCTCTGAGTGCTGGGATTATAGGCATGTGCCGCCAATAGTCCAGTGCTCTGCATTTCAACCAAAGATGCTTATTCCTCAAAAAGGCTGAACTACAGGATAAAAATCTTCAGATTTTATTCTGCTAACTCAGCAGAAAAGAACCAGGAAAATTTCAGTTCACACAGGAAGTGACAAGCAGCAAACACTAGCTCTGAGACTACACAGATGCTGGAATTATCTCACAAAGACTTTAAAGCAATAACTGTAAAAAAAATGCATCAGCAAGCAACTATGAACTTATAAAATAATGGAGAGTGAGGAGCATCTTCATCTAGTAAGGCTGTGGATTAAGTTTTGCAGGTTGGGACTCTTCTCTCTTACCACAGTTATTCCATACCCACAAGAAGTCCTAACCAGAAAAATAAAATAAGGAAACAAGAAGCAAGCAGATTGTAAATGGAGATGTGAAACTATTTCTATTAACAGGCAATGAATGTGTGATTCATTTTGTAGAGTTTGTAGAGGGTTCCAAGGAATCCTATGAAGGAGATAGTTGGACATTTATATATATATATATATATATATATATATATATATATATATATATATATATATATGTGTGTGTGTGTGTGTGTGTGTGTGTGTGTGTGTGTGTGTGTATACATATATGAGGGCAGCATGATTGTAAGACGCAAATCAACACACAGAAACCAATGTGCTTATAGACACCAGCAGCATCTAGTTAGAAGCAGGAAACTAAAAAAAGAGGATGTGTGTAGGTCAGAGGTCAACCTCAGATGTCATTCTTCAGGACTTGTCCAC